TGCTGTCTTAGGCAAGGGTTCCTATTCTTAGGTTGCTGTTCAGGTAAGAGTGCCACTTGCATATATTCAAAGTGGTCACACTCACTGCTTGCAAATACTCAAGATGGCTGCACCCTCAGGACAGCTGCTGGCAGTCCACAGGTCTGTTTGTCTCTTTCTTTGCTGTTTTCCTTTCTGGTTATCAGGCACAAATGTGGTCCTTTCCCATGAAGTTCTTGGTGAGGAGAGTCAACCCTTAGGTTGCTACTGGGAAATATTCAAAATGACTGTTCCCTCAGGACAGCTGGCAGTCCACAACTCCATTGTCTCCTTAGTCACTGTTTCATTCAGGTTCTTCTACTAGTTGGTATTTAACTCACTTCTTTATCCTTCTCTTCAAAGCTCTGGGTTCCAGGATTGCCTTCTGTACTGGTTTCAATTGATTTCTCATTGATTTGTTGCAGAAGGTCTGTGTAGCTTGTCTGCCTAGTCCACCATCTTTCTGGAACTCCTAAACTCAATGCTTCTGAATCAATTATTTTTCCTTTTTGTTTTCCTCCTGCAGCTGATAACCATTCTTAAACTTTGATCTGTGTACATTTTCTTATTTTAGATATTTCATATAAATGAGATCATACAATATTTATCCTTTTGTGATTGACTTACTTTGTAATGTTTTCAAGGTTCATTCCTCTTGTGCACATATATCCGGACCTCATTTCTTGTTATGGTCCAGTAATATTCTACTGGATGCATATACTACATTTTGTTTCTCCATTCATCTTCTAATGGACATTTAGGTTGTTTCCACCCTTGGCTACTGTTAATAGTCTTGCAATGATCATTGGTACATTGGTGTCTACTTGCATTGTTGCTTTCAGTCTCTTGTGTATATGCCTACGAGTGAAATTCCTGGCTCACCTGGGCTCTCTGTTTAACTTTTTGAAGAGCCACCAAACTGTTTTCCATAGCAGCTATACCATTTTTTACTCCCACTCACAATGTACAAGGTTCCAGTTTCTCCACATCCCTGCCAACATATATATATATTTTTTAATCTTACTCACCCTAGTAGCAGTGAAGTGGTAGGGCATGTGCTGTTGATCCCTAAGGACTGATGGAAGAGGCTCTGGTTGTGGAATGGCTAGTGCTTGGCTGCTAACCTAAAGGCTAACAGTTTGAATTCACCCAACATCTCTGAGATACGAAAACGTGACAATCTGCTCCTATAAATATTGCAGCCTAGATAACCCTATGGAATTGTTCTACTCTGTTACATGGGGTTGCTATGAGTTGAAATTGACATAACAGCACCTAAAAACAGCAATAATGGCTAATGAAGTTGAGCTATTTTCATGTGCTTGTTAGCTACTTTTATATTCAAGTATTTTGCCCATTTTGAAATTGGGTTGTTAAATTGTAGGAGTTCTTTATATTTCTGGGTATTAACTTTTATCTGATATATGTTTTCTAAAATTTTTCTCCCATTTTCTAAATTATCTCTTCACTTTGTTAATAAAGTTATTTGAGGTACAGAGGTTTTTAATTTAGATGAGATTTCATTGATCTTTTTTATATTCTGTTACTTTTACTTTTGGTGTCATATCTGAGAATCTGTTATTGAAAACTGGGTCCCAAAGCATTATTCCTGTTTTTCTCTAAGAGTTTTATGGTTTTAAATCTAACTTTTAGGTCTTTGATGCATTTTGAGTTAGTTTTCACATATGGTGTGAGTTATGCATCTGATCTCATTCTTTCGCATGTGATAATCCAGTTGTTCCAAGACCCATTTATTAAAGAGACTATTCTTTTCCTATCTGATGGACTGAGTAACATTGTCAAAAATTAATCAACTGGACATATAAGGGCTTATCTCTGGGTTCTCAATTCTATTCTATTAGTCTACATGTCTATCATTATACCAGTACCAGATTGTTTTGATTATTGTAGATTTAGAATGGATTTTGAGATTATAAGTGTGAGCTCTTTTGTTCTATTCTTCTTTTTAAATATTGCTTTGACTATTCTTGGCATTTTGAAGTTCTTGATCCTTTGCAGTCCTTGGCCTTTTGCAGTTCAAATATAAATTTGAAGATTAGCTTTTCCATTTCTGCAAAGAAAAGTGTTGGGATTTTGCCAGGTGTTGCAGTGAATCTACAGTTTGCTTTAAGTAGTATTGACATCTTGACAATAATAAGTCTTGCAATCCATGGACAAGGAATGTCCTTCCATTTATCTGGATGACCTTTAATTTCTTTCAGTTATGTGTATAGTTTTCAGTATGCAAGTCTTCAGTTAAATTTATTCCTAGATATTTTATTCTTACAGATGTTCTTGTAAATATAATTGTTTCCAATTTCCCTTCATATTGTTTGTTTCTGGTGTATAAAACCATAACTGATTTTAATGTGTTGACCTCATATCCTGCCACTTTGCTGAATTCATTTATTGTGGATTATTTAGGGTACAGTACTAGTACAGGACCAAACACTGTTTCGTTCTGTTGCACATAGAGTTTCTGTGAGTCAGAACTGACTCAACGCCACCTAAAAATAATAACAAATAACAAGCCCTGTATTAAGAACCTCTGACTTTCAAACAACTCCTAAATGCCATTTAATGTTATATAAATTTTCCCTCATTTTGAAATGGTTGAAACAACCCCTACTGTCAATAATTCTTTATCACAATTACCTTCCATTGCTACTTATGCAGCTTTTAAATCATGGAAAAGATTTCTAGCCTTTTCTTGTATTGAAGGCTAAATAAGAATAGTATACACCTGTTCCAATTTACCTACAAATTTGAATTAAAGGCATCATAGGAATGATCTCATTCATAATCCAGGGATTGCCCATATTTAACATATAAAACATTATTCACAGACTGAGATAGCTTTACTTCTTCCTTTCCAATTTGTTCTTTTCTTTTATTTCCTAATTGCTCCAGTTAGCACTTTCAATAAAACATTGAATAACAATGGGGGGAGTGGGCGTTGAATTTTGTCAAAATCATTCTCTGCCTCAAATGCTTTGATTGATGTGGTACACTACATTGACTGATTTTCTAATGTTGAAACTACTTTGCGTTCCTGGGAAAAATCCCACTTGATGTTGGTGTATAATCCTTTCAATATGGTTATGAATTAAGTCTGCTAGTATTTTGTTAGGAGCTCTGATAGCATAGTGCCTAAGGCACTTGACTGCTAACTAGAAGGCTGACAGTTCAAACTCACCAGCCACTGCTCAGAAGGAAGGTTGGACAATCTACTTCCGTAGTGATACAGCCTCGGAAACCCAAGTAGGGGTCGCTATGAGTTGGGTCTGACTCAACAATAACAACAACATTTTGATTTTGTTGGGAATTTTGTGTCTATATTTATCAGAGATATTCTTCTGTAGTTTTCTTTTCTTGTGAGTCTTTGTCTGGATTGGTACATGGTGATGCTAGCCTCATAGGATGAGTTAGAGAGTTATCTCCTCTTCTATTTTTGGAAATATTTAAGGATAAGTGTTACATACTAAGTATATATTTGGTAGAATTCCCCGGTGCAGCCATTTGGTCCTGCACTTGTCTGTGTTGGGAAGATTTTGATATTGCTTTGATCTCTTCACTTGTTTTGTGTCTACTGAAGTCTTATGCTTCTTTTTGAGTTCATTATTTTACTCTCTTTATTAATTTGTTACCTGTAAATGTCTTTGATCCTCTAACATTCTTCAGTTGAGTGTCTCTAATGTGGGTTTGCATAGAAAATGGTGAATAACATAGAAACTAACAAGGAAAGAATTCTAGGAAGAATGGCTTTGTCACAACTAAGAAATGTTACTCGGGGAGGCTTATGGTCTTAAGTATATGAATGTTTTACTTGTGAATTTCCTGAATTCAAACTATAGACACAAAGCTAGGTATTTATCCTCTTGTTTCCTTTTACCAACCTTTCTTTACTTATCTAAAGGTGCTTCTGCAACATGGAACCACAGAATCTAACACGTGTCTCTAAATTCCTACTCCTGGGCCTCTCGGAAGATCCAGAACTGCAGCCTCTCCTCTTTGGAATGTTCCTGTCCATGTACCTGGTTTCATTGCTTGGGAACCTGCTCCTCATCCTGGCTGTGAGCTCTGACTCACGCCTCCACACACCCATGTATTTCTTCCTCTTCAACCTGTCCTTGGCTGATATTTGTTTCATCTCTGCCACAATCCCAAAGATGCTTATGGATATCCACACACACCATGGAATCATCTCCTATGTTGACTGTCTGATTCAGTTGTCTTCTTTCCTTTTGTTTGCATGTATGGACAATTTACTCCTGACAATTATGGCCTATGACCGGTTTGTTGCCATCTGTCACCCTCTTCACTACCCAGTCATCATGAACCCCCATCTATGTGGCTTGCTGGTTTTGGTGTCTTTTTTTCTCAGTCTTTTGGACTCTCAACTGCATTGCTTGACGGTGTCAAAACTTACCTTCTGCGTGGAAGTGAAAATTCCTCATTTCTTCTGTGATCCTTCTCAGCTCCTCAACCTTGCCTGTTCTGGCACCACCACCAAAAGCATACTAGTGTATTTTATTGGTGCCATCTTTGGTGGTATTCCAGTCTCAGGGATCATTTTTTCTTATATTAAAATCGTTTCCTCCATTCTTAAAGTCCCATCATCAGATGGGAAGTATAAAGCCTTTTCCACTTGTGGCTCTCACCTGTCAGTGGTTTTCTTATTTTATGGGACAGGTATTGGAGCATATGTGAGTTCAGCTGTCTCACCTTCTCTCAGGAGTAGTGCAGCAGTCTCGGTGATGTACACTGTAGTCACCCCCATGCTGAACCCCTTCATCTACAGCCTGAGAAACAAGGATATCAAGAGGGCCCTGAAAAATTTCCTCAGCAGACCATCATAGTGTCAATATCTGTGGCATCTTTTATGGTCTGTGGATTAGAATAGGCAGAAAACCACACATGTGGAGCTAGAAAGCACGCTCCTTGGTCATATATTTTGTCATTCTAATTGTTTTCCCTTGATACTTCAATCCAATTGGTTATTTGGCCTATTTTGGGGGGAACTGAGGATTTCTGGAATTCATGATGCATCATGACATATGCCAAATTGAGTCCTAGGACACCTGTGAAGCTTTCTGTATTTGCCATCTATGACACAGACATCCTGGTGTAATTCACAACTTTCTTGAAATTAAAAAAAAAAAAAATGCGCTCTACCAGCTTTTCCACAGTTTATACCTATTTTCCATACAACATCTATATCTATCTTATCTACTTATGCACTTTAGGTGTGATAATGCTTCTTATTTGTTGTCAAATGTGACTTCATATTGGAATCACTGGTGAAATTTGAAGATTCTCATGTCTCGGTTGCACCATGACAGATTCTGATTTGTTTAGACTGAGGTGTGTGGTGATCTAGAAGATTTTCAAAGCCCCCACAGGAGGTTCTAGTGAGCAGCCAAGGCTGAAGACCACTGATTTAAGTGAGAGCATTGTTCAAAAATGGGTAATGCATCTTGGGTCCTTTATTCTTCATGAGCAGATGCTGAAGATTTTAAAAAATGATCAGAGCTCACAGAAGGGAATATATGAAAGAACTTCAGGTAGTGTGATTTTTCTCAATGTTCTTGGTCATATTTCCTCAAATATTTTTTCCAACCATACCATAGAGCTGCTCGTATATGCTGGATATTAAGCTTTTTTCTCTCTGCTCCAAACTCATCTTTCTATAGTGTGCACTATACTTTGTGATGCCAGAGTAGAAATCCTCCCATCGCTTCTCTGAATTTCTGTCTTTCTTATTGTGTTCTTCCAATAGTTGTCCATAACGTTCGTGACCCCCAATAAGGCAAACTTTTCACTATACTTCTTATCTTTTGGTATTGTCACTGTTTCCTGCAGGTAATAGCTCTGTTGTTACCCCTTTTATACTTTTATGCATTTCAGTCATTCACTAAGCATTTACCTACATAGCTATATGAAATAATGTACATTAAAAAATAACTAATGTGTTTCTTCTTGGTTGAGCCCTGACTGATGCACTGTAACATGTAAAATAAAGATATCATGTGTCTGCAGTTGTCATAGTTGTTGTTATTAGGTGTTGTCAAGTCAGTTCCAACTCATGGCAACCCTATGAACAACAGAATGAAACACTATTTGACACTGAGCCATCCTCACAATCTTTACTATGTTTGAGCCCTGAATTATTTCTGAAATTTTCTGCTTATAGCCAAGATCCATATGTCATCGGCAATGATATCCCTTGTTGCAGCCACTGTGTCAATCCATCTCATTGGGAGTCTTTCTCTTTTGTATGACCATCTACTTTACCAAGAATGATGTCCCTCTCCAGGAACTAGTCGCTTCTGGCAACATGTCCAATGTACCTGAGACAAAGTCTTATCATCCTCCATTCTAAAGATAATTATGATTGTACTTCTTCCAAGACATATTTGTTCTTTCTTCTAGCAGTCCACGGTATATTCAATATTCTTCACCAGCACCATAATTCAAATGCATCAATTCTTCTTTGGATGTCCTTATTTACTATCCAGGTTTCATATACGTATGAGTAAATTAAAAAACTATGGCTATGTCAGGTGCACCTTAGTCCTCAAAGTGACATCTTCATTTTTTAACACTTTAAAGAGGTCTTTGGCAGCAGATCTAATTTATTGATTGTTTCTTCCATGGGCATTGATTATGGATCCAAGTAAAAATAAATCCATGACAACTTCAACCTTCATTTATCATGATGTTGCTTAATTGTCCAGTTGTTAGGATTTTTGTTTTCTTTATATTAAAGTGTAACCCAACCTGAAGGCTATAGTTTTTAATCTTCATCAATCAATGCTTAAAGTCATATTCACTTTCAGCAAGTGAGGTTGTGTCATCTGTTAATGATTCTTCCTCCAACCTTAATATCACATTCTTCTTCATATAGTCCAGCTTCTTGCACTATTTTCTCAGGATACAGATTGAAGAAGCATGGTGGAAGGATACAACTGCAATGCACACGTCTTGGTTTTAACCATGCAGTATCCCTTGTTCTGTTCCAATGACTCTCTCACTGTATATGTACATGTCCCATATGAGCACAATTAAATGTTCTTGAAATCCCATTCTTCTCAGTGGTATCCATAATTTGCCATTATCCATACAGTGGAATATTTTGCATAGTCAATAAAACATAAATAAACATGATTCTGGGATTTTCTGCTTACAGCCAAGATCCATAAGTCGTCAGCAATGATATCTCTTGTTCTACTTCTTCTTCTCAACCTAGCTTGAATTTCTAGGAGTTCCTTGTCAATGTACTGCTGTAACTGTTATTGAATTATCTTCAGTGAAATTTATTTGTGTGTGATAATAATGCTAATGTTTGATAAATTTTGCATTCTGTGAGACAAGCTTTCTTTGGAATGTGAATAAATAAGGAAGTCCTTCAATTGTTTGTCCAGGTAGCTGTCTTCCCAATTTCTTAGCATAGTCAAGTGAGTGCTTCCAGTGTTGCTTCCACCTGAACTGGTATTCTATCAATTCCTGGAGCTATGTTTTTCACCAGTACCTTCAGTGTAACTGGGACTTCTTCCCTCAATATCACTTGTTCTTGATCATATGCTACCTCCTGAAATGGTTGAACATCAACCAATTATTTTTGATTCAGTGGCACTGCGTATTCCTTCCATTTTCTTTTGATGTTTCCTGTATTGTTCAATATTTTGTCTGTATAATCCTTCAATATTGCAATTCAAAGCTTGAATTTTTGTTTCCAATCCTTCAGTTTGAGAAACGCCAAGAGTGTTCTTCCCTTCTGTTTTTCTAATTCCAGGTCTTTGAACATTTCATTATAGTATTTTATCTTCTTGAGTTGACCTTTGAGATTTACTGTTCAGCTCTTTAATTTCATAATTTCTTCCATTTTTCTTTAGCTATGTTCAAAAGCCATTTTCCAACTTTCTTCTGACATCCAGTTTGGTTTTAGCTTTTTTTTTTCCCTCCTGTCTTTTAAAATATCTTTTGCTTTCTTCATGTATGGCTCTTGATGTCATCCCAAAACTCATCCAGTCTTGGGTCATTAGTGTTCAATGCATCAAATTTATTTTTCAGATAGTCTCTAAATTAAGATGAGATAAACTCAAGCTCATACTTTGATTCTGGTGGACTTGATTTGATATTCTTCAGCTTCAACTTGAACTCAAATATCAGCAATTGATGGTCAGTTCCGCAGTTGTCCCCTGTCCTTGTTCTGACAAATATTGATTTTCTCTATGGTCTCTTTTCACAGATGTATTCAATTTGATTCCTGTGTATCCCATAGAGAGTCCCATGTGAATAGTAACCATTTATGTGGTTGAAAAATGTATTTCCAATGAATAAGTCATTGGTTTGCAAAATTTTATGATGTGATCTCCAGCATCATTTCTATCATCAAGGCCACATTTTCTAGCTACCGATCCTTCTTTGTTTCTGACTTTTGCATTACAAATATCAATATTTGCAATACATCTTGATTGCATGTTTGACCAATTTCAGACTGCACAAATTGGTAAAAATCTTCCATTACTTCATCTCTGGTATTGTTGTTGTTGTTGTTGTATACCGTCGAGTCAGCCCCGACTCATAGCGACCCCTCCTTGGGTTTCCGAGGCAGTATCACTGCAGAAGTAGGATTGCCCAACCTTCCTTCCAAGGAGTGGCTGGTGGGTTTGAACTGCCAGCCTTCTGGTTAGCAGTCAAGTGATCTTTGGTATTAGTGGTACATAAATTTGAATAATTGTCATATTAACTGGAATTCCTTATAAAACCAAAACCAAACTCACTAATGTAGAGTAAATTTTGACTCATAGCAACCCCTCCTTTGGTTTCCGAGGTTGTATCATTATGCAAGTAGATTGGCCCATCTTCATTCCAAGGAGTGGCTGCTGGGTTTGAACCACCAGCCTCCTGGTTAGCAGTCAGATGCCTTAGGCACTAACACATATTATATTATCCTATCACTGGCAGCATTGTAGTTTAGGATAGATCTTGAAATGTCCTTTTTGACAACTAAAACAATGCCATTACTCTTCAATATTTCATTCTTAGTATAGTAGACCATATATGTGGTCAATTCAAAATGGCAAGCACCAGTCCATTTCAGCTCACTAATGTTTAGGTGCCAAAGGGGACAGAAATGGCAGTACAACCCAGGGTGTTCTTTCATATTGCCAGTTACCATGAAAGATTTCTTAAATATTTTGAAAGTTACTTTGCAGAATGCTACTAATAAAGTATGCAGGGTTCCTAGAGCTAACAGCAATTATGTATTTGAACCAAGCACGATCATATTGGAAAAGAAAATTTAAGAATACTGGAAGAGTGAGTTTCTTCTATCATGTTGGGTTTGATAATTCACTGCAGTGGCCACACATAACTCACAGATTATGGGGTTTATTAGGGAAGTACCAGGCTACAATTCAAGTTCAGGAACAATGCTTATTCTCTCTCACCCTGCCATCTCTCAGCCTCTCTCCCAGCAGTGTGTGTCTCTTGGTGTCTTTCAGCAATGCATGTCTCTCGGCATTGCTTTCTCATCAGTGCCTATCTCTCAGGAGTGTGTTTCTCTCAGCAGCAAATCTTTCACAGCCAGCAGTCAAAGAGACTCCTTCTGCCTCTAGGAGGGCTCCTTTTGAGGGTGAACCAACCAACCCCAACATCAGAATTCTATACACCTGAGAGAGAGCAAACTTCCCAGAAAATTACTTTGTGATGCTCCCAACAGAAATACCCCAGGTGGATGACTTTAACAATCAGGAGCTACTCAGTTTCTCACAGCAAATTCCATGGAGTTTACAAAGACTTATGGCTAGAAAAGCCATACCAGTAATTTACTACACCACAGACCACCCCCCTG